TCAAAGACTCATTAGCAATAGCCGGAGCAGCGCAGTCAACGAACTGTCCCCATAAAAATGTGTGTATGTCAAAGAGAACTCTATGTCATGAATTTACTATTGGTTTCATGTTTTTGTTTTGTGTGAACGTTTTCAACTTACTAATGTCACTTAGAACTTTGTAACATACAATGATCAACTCAAATTGAAAATAAAATTACTAATAGGGACTTTATTATTTTGATACCTGAAATAGAACAACACATAATTAAGAAATACAACACCCTTACCAAAGATACAAATACGCAAAACACCCTCTAACTACAAGCCAACAAATACTACAATCAACATGCTTCTAAAATAACTACTAAGTGACAAGAACCTTAGGTTAGAGTGGTACCAACTCTAAACTAAGGGTCTCGTCTTTAGCCAGTTTGCCCATCCGGTCAGCTTCACCGGTTGTGCAAGACTGACAATCATCCGTCTGCTCGCAGCCCTTTTATACGCTCGGGTTGAGTGGTGGGGGTAGAACAACGCTGCACCTGCTTATGTAAATTAACTAGCGATAGTAGGTCCCTAGCTAGAATATATGCCCGGTCGGATTCAAACATATACAAGGCAGATCCATTACTACCGTTTTTATATTTTTTCCAAGATATTTTCAAAGTCCTGTAAGTAGGTCAAGGTCATTTAAAATAATACCAAAAGAAGAGATGGAGCAAACATGCTCTATCTCTCCTTCTGTTGTAGTGAGGAAAGAGTCTGTGTTTAGGTATAACAACAAAAGCTTAAAATTTAATTTAACCAAATGCAGAATAGTATGCAGGCCGTTGGACCTCTCAACTAATTACAAAATGGTCAACTTAAATTTTAAAATATAGAATATTTACAGTCACAAGAAAGTGTTCATTGTTAGCTGACATAAGTTAACTACCAATGACAACAAAAAGTTTAAAATTTAATTTAACCAAATGCAGAATAGTATGCAGGCCGTTGGACCTCTCAACTAATTACAAAGTGGTCAACTTAAATTGTAAATATAGAATATTTACTGTCACAAGAAAGTTTTCATTGTTAGCTGACATAAGTAAACTACCAATGACAACGAAAAGTTTAAAATTTAATTTAACCAAATGCAGAATAGTATGCAGGCCGTTGAACCTCTCAACTAATTACAAAGTGGTCAACTTAAATTTTAAATATAGAATATTTACTGTCACAAGAAAGTTTTCATTGTTAGCTGACATAAGTAAACTACCAATGACAACGAAAAGTTTAAAATTTAATTTAACCAAATGCAGAATAGTATGCAGGCCGTTGGACCTCTCAACTAATTACAAAGTGGTCAACTTAAATTTTAAAGATAGAATATTTATAGTCACAAGAAAGTTTTCATTGTTAGCTGACATAAGTAAACTACCAATGACAACAAAAGTTTAAAACTTAATTTAACCAAATGCAGAATAGTATGCAGGCCGTTGGACCTCTCAACTAATTACAAAATGGTCAACTTAAATTTTAAACATAGAATATTTACAGTCACAAGAAAGTGTTATTGTTAGCTGACATAAGTAAACTACCAATGACAACAAAGATTTAAAATTTAATCTAACCAAATGCAGAATAGTATGCAGGCCGTTGGACCTCTCAACTAATTACAAAATGGTCAACTTAAATTTTAAATATAGAATATTTACAGTCACAAGAAAGGGTTCATTGTTAGCTGACATAAGTAAACTACCAATGACAACGAAAAGTTTAAAATTTAATTTAACCAAATGCAGAATAGTATGCAGGCCATTGGACCTCTCAACTAATTACAAAGTGGTCAACTTAAATTTTAAAGATAGAATATTTATAGTCACAAGAAAGTTTTCATTGTTAGCTGACATAAGTAAACTACCAATGACAACGAAAAGTTTAAAATTTAATTTAACCAAATGCAGAATAGTATGCAGGCCATTGGACCTCTCAACTAATTACAAAATGGTCAACTTAAATTTTAAATATAGAATCTTTACAGTCACAAGAAAGGGTTCATTGTTAGCTGACATAAGTAAACTAGCAATGACAACGAAAAGTTTAAAATTTAATTTAACCAAATGCAGAATAGTATGCAGGCCGTTGGACCTCTCAACTAATTACAAAATGGTCAACTTAAATTTTAAATATAGAATATTTACAGTCACAAGAAAGTGTTATTGTTAGCTGACATAAGTAAACTACCAATGACAACAAAGGTTTAAAATTTAATTTAACCAAATGCAGAATAGTATGCAGGCCGTTGGACCTCTCAACTAATTACAAAATGGTCAACTTAAATTTTAATTATAGAATATTTACAGTCACAAGAAAGTGTTCATTGTTAGCTAACATAGGTAAACTACCAATGACAACAAAAGTTTAAAATTTAATCTAACGAAATGCAGAATAGTATGCAGACCGTTGGACCTCTCAACTAATTACAAAATGGTCAACTTAAATTTTAAATATAGAATATTTACAGTCACAAGAAAGGGTTCATTGTTAGCTGACATAAGTAAACTACCAATGACAACGAAAAGTTTAAAATTTAATTTAACCAAATGCAGAATAGTATGCAGGCCGTTGGACCTCTCAACTAATTACAAAGTGGTCAACTTAAATTTTAAAGATAGAATATTTATAGTCACAAGAAAGTTTTCATTGTTAGCTGACATAAGTAAACTACCAATGACAACAAAAGTTTAAAACTTAATTTAACCAAATGCAGAATAGTATGCAGGCCGTTGGACCTCTCAACTAATTACAAAATGGTCAACTTAAATTTTAAATATAGAATATTTACAGTCACAAAAGAGTGTTCATTTTAATGGGGGACTTCTTTATCCTTTGTTAGCTGAAATATCACATGATTAGAAAAAATACAACACTCTGCGCAATTCAAGTACCAAAGACACGATGCACTCCATAAAGTAAAACCATCTAAGATACAAGCTAAAAAAAACAACATGCAGCACATGCTATTTGACTAAAACATTAAGTTAGATTGGCCAAATCTAACGAAAGGTTTTAATCAAAAGTCAGTCAGTCTACACTCAACCAGTCAGCTGTGCCAGTTGGGTGAGACTGACTACAGTCCGTTCGCTGCCACTACTTTTATCCGCGAGCCAGTTGGGAGGGGGCCGGTCGGGAGGTTTACCCTGCTTCGCGGGTAAATTTCCCTACTGTCGGGTAATTCTACCTACTAAGTAAGGAAGTCTCCAAACCTCCAACATCACATCATTCAGTGTCGAACCTTCAACGAAGACTGTTCACATATGCTAGCTCTGTTCTGATGTTAACTATGGATAAGCCAAGTACAATCACACAAGATAAACTAAAGAGAATAAAAGAAAATTTAAAGAAATCTACTACTTCTAAAACTAGCAATTTTCGCAAGTCAATGTCACTACGTCTAAAGTTTCAGAAGCAAATTAAATTACCACTACATTGGAATGCATCAGGATCAAATTATTCTAATCAATTATCACCCGAAGCCATATGTCAAGAAATGAAGCTTCCTCAAATAGTAAGTCCAATAGAAACAGAAAAAGTAACATTTAAATATCTGTTACAAAACAAACATTATCAATTAGTAGAACAAAGACAAAACGAAAATGGTAAAACATTTATTTTCTTTTATGACAACAAGTTTTTAGAGGTTTGCTTTCCGACACAATTAAACGTATCAAATCCTCCTGACGTTGAAGATGGAAAGCTAATTTATTTGATTCACACAAGTCAGGACACATGGAATTGGGTATAATTTACGTACAAAAGGTATCAGTCTTTCTAAAGACTCCATTATATAAACATATTTTGACCACAAAGGTTAATCTGTCAAACTATTTAACAAAATATAAACATGGTCTCCAAAACCCGTAATATACTACTACTACTAATTTTTCTAAAAATATATAAACAATATTTAATTTTACGTTATTTTTTTAGGACCTCTAACATAAGATAAGAATTATATTTGGTTTTACATTAGGCCTACCTCATTTGTGGGTACAAGATAAAGCTGCTATATCACATAGTTCCAAAACACACGCGAGCACACGATACAGCTAACGATAGACACAGCACCGTACAGATAGCAACACTCCGCCACTACGTCCAAACGCGAACTGTGTGGATACGATCCAAATCTGGGTACAGCTCCGCGAAGGTTGAGTAACAAGGTCGGGCGTGGCCGCGACCCTGACCAAACTTTCGTCCGTCCAACTAACCCAATTCCGCGGCGAGCAGTGAGTCACCCATGCCGCAACGCGCCGCGCCCCGCTGACCTTACTAGAATACTACACAGTACTGTTGACTATGAATTTAACTAAATCCATGATTTAATTGTATAAACTGTGTTTCGCTCGTTAAACAATTAAAACAGTACCCACATACGTCACAAGTGACATACGACCAAAACCACCTGCTCTTACGTAATTTCCTCCGAATGCCCTTTAAAATAATTAACTTTGTAACATCTGCTAACATCTGCCCGACAGCTGTTGGCGGTGAACTGTTACTATGACACTACTAGATAACTTCAACTATTTTCTTATGGAATTAAAAATATGAATTCCACCTTTTAAAATTGCTACCATTTTTCAATATGGCGGTAACTTTGAAATTTATTAACGAACACTTAGTTTTTAATGATTGTATCATAATGTAAACGCTATTTCAAAACGTTCTTCACATTGTTTCTCCAAAGCTACTTATTGAGGAGTTATACCATAGATTAAACATACTACACACCTTGGATACAATGACTTGCTAGCTCCTTATACGAGTAAGTTTGGAGAGGAAATGCTAATAATTTGATGTTAATAGATGCGATAATTCGCTTAGTCTGCAGGTTTGCTGAGGCGAGTGTATTTCTATACATTTTAATGTATACTGGTTTGCTTGGTATTTTATAAAATCCTGATTTAATACAGCCTTGAAAATATACTTATTAGGCGTCTTATTAATAGTTAAATACAACCAACTCGACATTTCAGCTCGCCCAAATCGGATCCTTGAAGTTTATGATGGAGTTCGTTTTGCAAAAGATGTATGCAGTAGGTGGCAAGGAAGATAAGGAAGAGATTGTGAGACGCATACAAAATGTCTGGAAACTAGACATACAAACAGTTGAATATGTGGTGCACAACAGCGTGAGGAAGGAGTTTATGGACTATAATAAGTGGTTGACCTGCGAAGATGTCAAAAAGGGAGTACTTGACCTAATGGCGGTTAAGGTAACATAGTTTCTCACGTAATCCTAATCATACTAATTAGTTTACTGCTGATGTATTTAAATTTTTAAAATTGATATTGCTACAAATAGCTAATTTTATAAAAAATGACTGTTATTACACTTTTATTTAGCAATTAAAATATCTTATCAAACAACACCAAGTTTAAAAATATAAAATAAAAACAATTGAAATATCGCGATTTTTAGCTTTCAAATGATGTTGAACAAGGCTAAGCCAGTCAGGTTTGCCTCATTTTACAACTAAAAGTCGTGATATTTCATTGTTATTTGTTCTTTTTGAACTTCTTTGTTAAAATTCTAAATAAATGATAAATTCTAAATTCATAATTCTAAGTGCTAATGATGGACATTGTTAGTAAAATTAGCCATTTTTAGCAATATCAATTTAAAAAAAATTTCAATGGCCACCATTTTGAAATTTTAATTGGATTAAGATAATTTTTATCTAACTTGTTTACTTTAACATAAATACAAAGCTTCATAATGATCGTTTGAAAATGATCAAAGATAAAAATATCAATAAAAAAAATGGTGGATATCTAGTTGACTAAGCGATTTTGGAAAAAAAAAATCTTGATTCTGTTTATTTTGACCCATAGAACCATTTCCTCGAGTGTGGCTGTTTACTTACGGGACACCCTGTATATGTAGCAGTTGATTAGTGTTTTTGACAACCTCAGCTGTTGAGCTATTATTCTAATGGTAAGATGATTAAGTGGAGGGGATGGATTTCTTCCCCTAAACCTGCCTAAGTTTTATGTTTTCATTGGGCCTAGGCTTACCGTACCTTAACTGTGTATATTCTAAACGTATTGTACCATTTATTATTCCTTGGCAGAAAGTACAAATTATTGGCCTCTTATCTTTGACAAATGTGGAAGCAGCACAAGCTCTTATAGATGGAAAAAAAGATAAAGATAACCAGTTAGAAGCTATTGCGAGGGATGATCTTTCTACACGACTGGAAACAGCATTCGGTGACTGTACAACGCTGACAGGGGGAATCTCAACCCTCGACGAAGCTATAACAAGTGCATGAACCAGAGAACTTAGATGAAGGTGACGTAATAAATTTAATCAGCGCAGTATTCAGTGTTTTATTACACCCATTCATACATAAGATATTTGCTGATTGAATTTTCTTTGTCTTCAAACAATTAAGACCATGAACAAACTCATCCAACATTTGTTTGGATGTTCGGATTTTGAGTTTAACTATCGATGATCTTTTGCTTATTTCAAAGACTCAAGTTTCTCGTTTGCTCATTATCAAATCCTAACAATAGTTGGAATCTGCAAAGACAGGCATAATACATAAACAATTTTTGCATGAGTATATAAGTATGAAAAGTAAAATTAAATTCTGAAAAAATATGTTCTTCCATGAACCCCACGGGGTCCTGTGTGAACTTGATGATCTTGTAGTAGCTTTTCTCCAGTAAAGGATGAGAGCATTGGTGGGTTTACGGGTACGAACTTCGAAGAGATCGTACAGGGTGGAAAAAATTCTAGGGCAGTTAAATATTTTAAAAAATAATAAAGGTATGCCTATGAATATTGATACAAAGTTACTGGGTGTTCACATAATGTTGACACGTTATTCAGTGATACGCTACTCCCTCTGGGGGACGGCCCGCTAGGAGTCAGAAGAAAATCTTGAAGAAAGTCAGGTTGATAATCAAATAAAATTAAAGGTAATTACTAGTGGAATATAATACCGCAAATCGGAACTCTTGGACCTCTGAGTCAAAAATCGCCGTTTGAATCTGATATTTTAAAATCTTTCAACGGTTGACTTAGTTTGTCTTTTGAGCTCAAATTTGCTCACATACATTGGATACTACTAAAAAGGCCTTTAATTTGTTGTGCATATCGGCCTATGATTACATTTACTATTTTCAGTTTATCAGTTTTTTGTTTCCACAGTTCAGTCCATATTGTTTTTGACCAAATAATTATTTTCAACATTCAAATCAGTTATACAATTTACACCATAACTGTTTTTAGTGGCTTAATCCAACTGTTCATTTGAAAACTGTCTCCAGCTTTGACAACATCTAATTCTACCCAGGTTTTACATTATGTTTTCAAATCCGTTGTAAACTTCAATTGTTCCTTGTCAAGTTTTCAAGTAGAGGTGTATAGTCAATGGTAGTACTCATGATAAGACCTGGACCAGGGACCGATTTACTTTTTCGTTTTGAGGTCCCTAGAAGCCAAAATCACAATCCGTTCAAATGCATAAATATAATATATTTATACTATTATATAAAAATCTAATGGTGTATGTCTGTATGTGTATTACTAATAGTAAGGAAGCCTAAATAAGTGTTCACCACCTGAGTTAATAACAGACTTATATCGAGCTTCAGTATCCAATAGTCAATGGTCGAGGTAAGTGGTACAGTTGAATTTCGTATCTAAATTAAATATTCGATGTAAAAGCACAGACAATGTAAACAGTATTATAGTATTACAGTATTATAATTATAGTATTATAATTACAGTATTATATTGTCTGCGGTAAAAGTATTTTAACGGCTAGGAGTTTTGAGACTAGTTCAGTCAATCACCGCTAGATGTAGCTACCATCGAGGCTCGCGACAATTCACCTAGTCTCCGCTAGATGTCTCTTCAACCGATAACACTTAATCCACTATAGTTTATATATTACTGATCGATTTTAAATGTTTAAAATATAAAAAAAATAGAAACAAAATTGGTTTTATGTAATATGTAGTAAGCTTTACATTTAAAGCTGTCCTATTTTCAATCTAAAGCTGTGGTATTTGACAATAATACATTTTTATCGGTTGACACTCGCAGTGATTTGTAAGTTTCTCTTACAAGACTAGCCTCAACTGGTCCTACCTGATTTAAAAATATATACATCTGTAGTTTATTTCTTTTCTTTGAAAAGCCGAGAGTTGTGTCTCTTTAATTAAGTCGAGACCGACGATTGGCTTATAATACAATACAACTAACATCTAGCTACTTATTTTGTATGTTACCGCGTCTTCACCTGCTATGTTGCTAGTTGCTATTAGTGTTCGGACATCGATAGATCATCATCGATGCTGCAAAACCATCGGTTCAAAAACATCGATATTTTCATGCGAAAAACATCGAAGTTTTCAACTTAATCATATCGAATTTTTGAATTTTATAATCTCAGTATTCCGTTATTCATTTAAAAATGCTGATATGACGGAATTCGCGGGAAAACTAAACCTCCGTTCCTCCTAACTCGCTTCGTTCCCCGCTCGCAGATAGGATTGTCACGCCAAATCAGTCCAGTCCACTCTGTTCCGTTCCAATCTGGAATCTGTCCATCTCCTCTGCTACGAACATCGATATATTTATAAAAGATAAAACATGTTTTATCTACGTATTTATTTTACGATCTTTGACAAACAGCTTCAGCAAAAAAAAAAAAACATCGATGGTAGTAAAACATCGACTTTCTTACATCGATGGTAAAAACATCGAACATCGACCTCCAAACATCGATGTTTTGAAAACATCGATGTTCGATACCGAACACTAGTTGCTATGTTATAACCAATAACTATGTATCATACAACACAAGAAGTAATAACCCTGCCCAGAAAATAAAGGTTTTATGTCGGAACCAATTAGTGACAAGCAAATCCTAGGTTTACAAAAATTACAATACCACTACTACTGTATATACTATACTATACCACTTATACTATATAGTTGAGCGGAGCGAGCGAATCTCTTTGAGATCGGAACTTTATTAAATGTTTATTTTGAATAAAAACTGGAAAAAAGACATGAAAAAGTTAGTCAACTACTAACATTGTCTTTTTTGGTCAGAGAAGTTTTATCCGTGGTTAAGTTGTCGATAGGTAATTAAATATATTTTACTGTTTGTATTCAACTTTTTTTCTATCGCGCTAAGTGTTTTGTCAAAATTTCGGGTTGAACAGAGCGGCAAATCCTCATTTGAAGGGTTCGGCGGGTGCTAGCCATCCGCGGCTGTCGTAGCCATACCGCATTCGCATACATAATTACTGTAAGTCGACTGAATTATTCCAAGCAGGATGTTTCTTTTCATTTTCCATATTGCTATTAGTTTTGTAGCAAGGTTTAAATACAGTAAAAGAAAATCTACATTGAATATAGAACCTGCATTTATAAAGCAGTAATTCTGTAATTTAAAATATTGAAAACAGTCGCCTATAGTATATAAATGCAGTGATTGTCTAGACCTAGACCTGTACAGAAGTAAAGTTACGATAAATATACGTAGGTATATTAGACATAGACTTGACTGCTTGGCCTTTACGTACTGAAGTCCAGTCATAACTAAGCTTACCCCTCTGATATGATATTCCTTCTACTTTCACGTAATTAGAAGAATTGTTACAGACAACAGAACCGAACCGCATGTTGACATTTTTATGTCAGGTTAGTAACTGCAATCCAATCTAATAGGTTTTACACTAACACAGTGCAGTCTCTACAACTCAAATGAAATGACGTAGCCTAATACAGAAACATATTTTATATTGGTTTTAATAATTTTGTTGTAGCTTATTATGAATGTATTTGATTTATTCATGCCGTAGTTTATATGCCAAGGCCTTAAAAAACACCTCTTAATTTCAAAATGTTGTCGTGTGATACTTGAGAGTAATTTTTGGACTACTGCCATATGCAATGATAGCATAGGAATAATGGTAGCTTCATACAAATTTACCAAAACAGAAAATTACCTACAAGATTTCCAAATTTGCATTTTAGTACAATTTGACCCACACATTTATTTTTTGAAAAATAAATTGGACCCACATTGTACAATGGGTTGTTTGTTGCCTATCCCCCAATCTTATATATTAAAAAAATTGGGTTTTCTTTTCCGAGTTCGTTTGGCTCTTCTACTTGACCGATTTTCATGATTGAGGTCTCAAATTGAAGGTATGCACGCCAAGTTTTCACATAAAGCATCGACAAATATTTACCTATTGTATTACTCGACCAAAACACATAATTAGATTGTTTTCAAATTCTTACTTCAATTTACTGAGTTAGCCAATTCCTACGTCTCATTCAATTTGATGAGGATTTGATAATGGGTCTTTGACCCGAAACTAATCATCCCCAGACTATTTTTAGACTAGTGAGGTATTTAACATATTAATTCGTACAATCAGTTTTGGTGGCAAGAATGTTTAAATCTAATTGGCCTTTGGGAATGTTTTCTATACAAAACGAATTTCTTCGAATTTTGGTCAGTTATTGTTGCACGTTTATTCCAATGTGCACTGTATCTACGGTTTGTAATTTAATTTTTGATAATTAAGTAGACATCTCATTTGGACCAAATAATTATTTTAAACATTCAAATCAGTTATTTACAATTTTCTCCATAATTCTTTTTATGGTCAAATCAAATATAATCATTTTGAAAACTGTCTCCAACTTTGACAACATCTAATTCTACCCTGGTTTTACATTTTATGTTTCCAAATCCGTTCTAAACTTCAGTTGTTCTTTGTCAAGTTTACAGGTGTTGTGGTTTGTACGTCATTTGTCATATGACTAGTGTTAGTGTATGACTCACGTAGATTATCTGGAAAACCCAAGCTACAATACACAATATTCAGTACAGCTGGTGCAACGGCGCAGTGCATTGCACTGTAAGTCGCATAACCAAACAGCTGTTGTGCCATTGTTCCAATTAATATTGATGCGTGCAGGCAGTTAAAGTAACGTTTTTGTGCGTGTGGAAATTCAGGGTGTAATTTTGTACAAGACACTACACGTTTGGAACTTTTGATCGATTTCCTAGCATGTATGAAATGTAAGTAACCTTCCCGTACTTATTTTAGTTTATAAACTCCAAATTTTTGTGTACGTCAAGGCTAATATTATTTTTAGGGAATACTTATGGGATTTGCTTGCTTCAGATGTAATGTTTTCATTGCTGCGTTTTGTAGAAAAAGTGTATTATACTTTACATTTATACCTTTAAACATGTATACTAAATTCAAAGGAAATCTTTGTAGTTTAATTTGTACACTAAATGGAGTACATCTTCTAGTTAAAAAG